TGGCAGGAATATGGAAGGTGAAAAAAGCAAGTGAGAATCCGAAGAAATATGTTAGATTTCGATATTCGGCAAAGCGGCAAGCAAGAAATATGGGATACCGAAAGGTTCACTCTTTAACAAAACAACTGGAGAAGTTTTCCTAATACGTGAAATGGGACCCGACACTATTTTGACCACACAAGAAGAAGCTACTCTCGAAACTTGGATCCTGTTCAAAGCTCTACTAGGATTTCCAATGCATCCGATGGAGTGAAAGATTCGGTGCAGCGTATCTGTTCTTGTAAAGACATTCAAAGATAACAATAAGAAATATAGATATAATATCCAAGGTGTGGGCATCTGTGACACAAGAAAATATTCGTAATTGGTTTCAAGGTCTGAAGGAATTCCTAATGGGTGATGATGCAGAAGATATACGGTCTGAGCCTGAAAGAATCCCTAGGGATTTAAAGTGCATTTTGAATCCCCAGGGATTTGGAGTACCACTGTTTTTCCCGAAATCTAGATCACCATAGTTACTTAGGTCGATGATATGGTAACAATCAGCCCCGTCGAACACGTTTTTTGAAATAGAGTACCTACCGTTTAGAGGCAAGTGCACAAAATAGTATATACACCTCAGAACAAAAGTGCTTACGAATCCCTCGACTAATTATAGCCCTGCTTTGTTTAGGGATTTGAAATAAAACTTTTTTTCATTTTGTCAACTACTATCAACATTGAGCTTCTCTCAACCTTAGAATTGCGGCAAATCGAAAAGCGTGTTTTCGAAATTACTACTACCCATCATCACTGCTTTCAGAAGAGGTACCAAGTTAAAAAAATCGAGACAATGGTTTGGCTTCTACAGCAAAAATTGATGTTATATCGGTTTCTGAGAATAATTCGGGACTTCAAGACGAAGCCATACATGACGACCCAGGCACTAACGAGGAACAGTTAATCTGCTCTTCACAAGAAGGTCCCAGTACAGCAGAACCTGCAATTCCATCACATACATATCTTATTATAACTGAAGAAAATCTGACTCAAGGAAATTTAATGTATCTGGAAACCAGTGTAACATGAAAATTTGCTATTTCGTGTTCCAAAGTGTGAATTCTGCATATAGGTGGGAAAGGAGCGTAACTCGACGATTTCTTTTCTAGCTCTTGGGGTACTTCATATAATTCTTCCTTGATAAATGTTTTCATTTTCAATGCCCATAGCTGGATGACTGTTAGGTTATTTTCGTCCACTTCTTATCCAATCTTACACATTTGTCAGATGCCCATGATTACTGTAGTTCACATCTCAGTCTCCTGCCAGTAGAAAACTGTTTGTCACGTTGAGTGGCATGTAGTGGTACAGGGATATTCACAAATTTGTATCGACTATTGAATCGACTAATATATCGGCTATCGATATCATGATCGATATTTAATATTTCTTTCAAGTTGCATCCTTGAATCATATTATTTCAGTGACTAGCTTGACGCTGCGCAGAGACGGAATTTGGTTCGCAATATTTTTTTGAGATGGATCGCAAGTGCTCTGATTGACGGAAACTTGTTGTTTGAGCAATTTCCGATTCTTCATCCTTCCTGGTGATTCCTTCTCTTACCAAGAGGTTTCATGTGTTGATGCCAAAATGAGACTCTTTTTGATCTTGGCTCTCGTTCGATCAGGTCAGGTGGTGGACACCTATTTTTCTGTTAGGCCTTTCCGATTGGAAGGTAAGACATATTAAATCTGTTTTTGTGGATGATATTCGATAGGGTATGTATATTTCAGATATCACAGCCTCATACAGGGGAGCAAGGGGTACAGAAGTGGATGATATGAACTCCATTTTCTTCTGACCACATGGCATGTTTCTGGACAAGAATTCCAACACTCAACACTGTCAACTGGATGGATCACTAAAAATCGAATATTTAATCGACGATGGGTATTTGGAAATCTTCAATTGTTTTCTGGACTTCACTGGTTGGGCATCACGTGGACACTTTTTTCGTTGGTTGGGGCACCTGAGGGATCTTCGTTGCTTTGAAGCCCGAGTTACCAATACACTTGAAGGTGAAGGCAGGACCCTGGTGATTTCTGGTGTATGTTCTTGGGCATCTATAGGACCCGACCGCTCGGCATATCTTGCAGAATCCTCGCTGCCAACAGTGCAAGTCCCTAGCAGCCTTACTGGCTCAGATAGCCAGTGATCCTGACTTCTGACAGGAAGTCCAGGGGAGTCTAGACTCCTGGTGTGGTAGATGATCCATCATCCCATGGATTTTTGTCGCTTCGGAGCCTGAACTCCAAGTGCCTAGTCGGATAGTGAGACGTCCTGGTCCAGCTTGGATTGTGAGAGGAGCTTGCCCTGGTGGCAGCCTGTAGACCCGTCAGCCAGAGTTCCAGCACTTCCAGCGCAGCATCCAGTTGCCCTGGGATAAACCAAGTGCCCAGGTCTCCAGGTGGTTGTGACTCCTGTCAACTGTGTGGAGATCCAGTTTTCCTAGCACATCTAACCTCTAACGCCGACTGAGGGAGGAGTGTGTTCGTTTCATCCAGGTAGTGAGAGTTTTCACTGTCTGAGGACATTTAGCTTACCACATTTTTTTCCTGTCTGAGGACATTTTAATAATAATTTTCTACTTTCTCATGTCAAAAGATATTTGAGTACTTGTCAACAACATATTCCAGTCTAATATCGGAATTTACATCAAATGGAATTGTTGAGTCTGTTAAAGACTCTGTGAACCCAAAGTATAGGCCTATATTGTCAAGAAGTACAAATGCCTAAGCATTAACATCACACGAACTTTCGTTCAATTCAAGATCTTTCATCAACAATTAACTTCTCCAAATAAAAACATTCAGTACATTGTAGTTTCGATCAGGTCTCGGAGTTTAGAATTTGCAAAGAAACCGCTTACCCCGCGATAATACCTAGGTAAGCAGTATCGAAAGGTAACGACCATTCCCCTTGCGGAAAATTGCGAATCCAGCATCGATTTCAAATATAAATAGAACCCGAATCGATAAGGATGGTCATTATTAGTTCTATCGTGATTCATTATCAACACAAGGTTATTATTTTATAACATGAATTTCCTGCAAAACAAACCTGGTAAGATAGTAACAATAATTCCAGGATAAAATGAAACTCAGGGGGTGGAAAAACAATTATTTTATTGTACAGCGATGGGTAGTGTTTCACTTCAGGTGGTTGCTTGAATAAAGTGTATTTTTGTCAAGTATGTTGTGCCCTGCATACACAGAATGGTAGTTATCAAATCTTTACTAATAACACCTTACTTTTCACAATGTATGGAGATATATACCCAAGTTCCCTTGGGGTATCGATACCAAAAGTTCACAGGAATGCAAACTAATTGAACTATAGATAACTCAATCAATAATGGACCAATAAAATGCTAAAAGCTCAGGCTATGGTTAACTATCTCACAGAAACCTTATAAACGTATTGCAGAGGCTCAAGCAATTTGGTTACTAGCTATTATCATAAAGGAAAAGATAACGCTCACTTGAGAAGCTTGATGATACTTTGGCTGTATTGGGACCCAGCAATACATCCAGCATTCCAGGTAGGTGCTATATGGGCCGGACCAGGCAGGAACGTTCTTTCCTAAGATACTCAATAGTCTCTAGATCTACAGTTTTCATGCAGTGGGACAGGAAAGCAAAGCAGTTAGCAGCAAATGAGCATGAGTGAAGCCAAGCTGGTTAAACAGGCTCTATGAACTGGTCGAGTCCAAGTAAACTCGAAATCAATGTTGGCCCTACAAATTACAATACCACCATATATATACTATCATTGAATCCCAAGGACTATCGCGAGTTGAGCTGTAAATTGATCAGACCTGAGCATACCTCGATTTCAGGTGGCCAAAAGTAGCAACTACGGTGAGTTGAAATAATGGAATCTGATAATCAATCTTATTTAGCAGAAGTCTTCATCCAACATAGTTGAGTAGTCAGTGGACCATCCTTTGACTACTTTGACTTCGTCAAATAATTCGATTACACGAGAAAAATCCGCAAAAATGCGAAAGCACGTTTTCTATACCTGCGGGTTTCTCCAATTTATAAGAAGTTTCTCTTAGGGAGTTACTGGAAATTTATCCCGAATTCCATAGATCTGGGTTATCTAGGTTATGGTTTCCCATCAATGCCACCAGACAGCAAATTTGTGACTCCATAGAACTAAGCACCCTATGTAAATCATTTGGGCACCCCTTGTTAGATGAGTTCTTAGGCATTAAATTATTGCAAGAAAAAGCATGCAAAGTCCTGGATATAAAATATAACAGAGTAATTATGGTTCGAAATATGTTTGTGAAGGTATTCATACAAGGTTATGTACAGAAGACCAAATCATGGCCTCTTGTGAGACTTGCATCCGACTGCCACCCAGTGATCTGCAAGGCGTATAACGCAGGCCGGTGGATAACTGAAAGCGAAGACATCACTATCCCACTGTCAGCCTGGGGGTCTATTTCATTCATGAAAACATTTGAATTTGATTACTCGGTAGATACATCAGAGTTGTTGTCCGACAAAAGTTGTGCGCCACCCCGAAGTAATTGGACACAGAAGTATGACCCATGCGGATTTGTCATCCATCATAATCAGAGGAAACCTCGGTTTCCTCCACAGGAGACACGTGTTATACTCAGATATCTTAAAGGAAAGCCGGGAGAGACCCAAGAGGTGATCTCAGAAATCAACCGGCATGAGCCTGATTCTGAAAATGATGTCGTATTCCAAACACGGAAGGAGCGAGAACTTAAAGCGGATGGAGGGAGGACATTCTGCTCGCAGACTTATCGCCAGAGATTAGCACAAACAGCGTGTGAATCAAATAAAAAAAAGAGTGTCTATCCTTATTTACCTTATCAGACCATGTCAGACTCTGAATTAGGACTCAACAAGAAAATAGCAAGTTTTACCCGAATACAGAAACAGGGGGGGACATAATAAACTTAGATCTGGACAAATGGAACATGTACCAACGGCCCGAGAGTGTTAATTCAATTGCTAGAGACATTGATAACCTGTTTGGATTTGACTGGGTTTACCAAGACTCCCATATATGGATGCAACGATGCTTTGTTCTCAACAACAGTAGGGTGAATCCTCCTAAGATGGCGCAGTCAGGGTTACCTACCCCTGGGTTTTGTTGTCATGTCAATCAAAAAGGAGGTTTTGAGGGGATGCGCCAGAAACTGTGGACCATTGGTACCTTCTGCACAATACTCACAGTAGCTTATGAACTTGGTATTCGTGTCAGTGTGTTAGGACAAGGAGATAATCAAGTCATTGTTACATCTTACACAGAAGCACAGAGAGAACAAAAGTTGAGAATGCGCGCACAATTCCTCCATCGATTGGAACAAGCATTCGGAGAACAAGGACTAATTTTAAAACTCTCCGAAACCTGGATATCCACAAGACTATTAGAATACGGAAAGAAAAGGTGGTTTTTGGGCGCTCCTGTCCCATCAGGCACAAAACGTGCAACACGCATAATATCTGAGGAGGGTGATGGAGTCCCGACATTTGAGGTGGCACTTGGTATGTTGGCGACTTCAACCGAGAATATATCCGCTTCAGATACCTCTCCAGATGCTGCCTTTATCCTCTATGTGGCGGAGGTGGTTAGCTTGCTATGCCGCAGGAATATTGTGCTCGTTTCTACACCTGTACACGTAGTGGTCGCAATTTGTTGTTGGCCGAACATATTAGGAGGACTTATACTCTCGACGTTGCCAAACCATACTATTCGAGGGTTTGATGATGCTCTCACTATCTGGCTATCTATCTACCGGACAATATCCCAGCACTGTCCGTCTGTCTGGCAGGTGCTCCAATATCTCATACCCCTGAAGAATAAGCCCCTCAGAGACTATACAAGACTAGTAGAGGACATCTTCTCTCTGAATATCCCTACCTTACAAACAGCTTCTCTGGTGATTACAGATAAGGTAAAGAAACTAATACCAACCTATACCACCAATGTTGAAGTGTTAAGTGTACTTAATCTTGATATCTCGGAAACACCCCTGTTAATTGCAATGTTAGTACAAATGTCACCGTTTTACGCACCCCTTGCACACGAAATCTATCGGAACTCTAACGCCGGAACTATCAAGCAGTTACAGAACAAGCTCACAAATGTGCAATCCATCATAAAAGTGGTGAACACAGAGGGAGAAGGGAATCTTTTGTCAGAGATCAGGAATGCAGACCTAAAGTTAATAATGACGATCAGCGTGATTCAGATGAGAAATCCACTACCGAGTTCGGGGATACTCCAATCATTTATAGCATCAGAGCCTTGTACTTATCAGATGGCTCGGAAAATTAGAGCTGGATCGTGGGGTTTTGAACCGGAGGGATCTACTCATCCTGTCCCTTGGGAACAGTTGATAATCTTACCCTTCGAATGTGTTGGTCCCCAGGTATATAAGAAGAGTATAACTGTGGAGACTTCGGCAGAGCTCTCATCTTGCCGTGAGGGTCCTCTTACTCAAATAGGTCCCTTTCCTAATTACTTTGGTTCAGTCACCCATGTCAAAACTCACTCGAGCAAAGTAGAATTTTTAGTAACCCACCCTTTTATAGTCTCTCTCAAAAACTTGATCTATTTGTTATCATGGGCAGAGAGAATAAACTCTCCCCAATTATGTGAGTTATTAAGGTCCTTAGTTATGTCCAAAAAGACTCTTCTCCCTACTGGATTCAATTTCGACTTGTTACTTGACCAGACTCAGGACATATACAGTGGTCATCTCTACCATAGATTACATGCTACTACCGAAACGAAAGGCGCAATGGCAAACACCTCTTCTACGATATCTACCCATGTGAGAGTGTCAACAAGCTCGATGTCAGAGTTAACCCAGGATGGGAGAGATTACAACATCTTTTTCCAGTTAGTATTTCTCTACATCTTCTCAACATTGGAGAACCAGCTAGTTACACGCTTATCGCATATCGATTGTAAACAACTCCGAGTCTTACTAAGATGCGCTGGATGCACTCATGAACTTGTGGATCCCAAGATTACATGGAGGAGCAACGTTCATCGAGATGTACAAGACACCATTGTTCCTAATAATATACCCCATGATATACAAGTAACTCAGCTACAAGAGAACCAGACCATTTCGACCACTTTTCCCATGTAAATCTCCATAAGAAAAGTTAAGGTTCATTCTGGTCATTTTTTACGCTTTCAAGGTCATCCGGCTCCGACGAGTGAGCTATCAGCAAGCTGCTGATAAGAACCGCAATAACACATCGATGCCAATAGCTGAGTCGATATACAGGGTGTTTGAGTTGGCTAATAGTTGGGGGAAAAAAATATACATATATAGAGTGAACCCGAAAGGCGTTATACCTCCTCGACGAGTAGACTACCAGCATATAGGCTACCCGCTAGCTAATGATTCAATCTAATATATAGGGTGTTTGAGTTGAAAGAAATATATACAGGGTGATCCGCAGTAATACTACCCCACTTTGGGGTATCAGAGGGTTGAAGAGGGTGCGGGTACTCTAAGAGAAGAATTTTTAACGGGCACTTCGAAAATAATGGTTCGTCCATATGCAAAGTCTCAAAGTTTATGAGATATCATTTGAAATGTGTGGGGAAACGTTCTGTTAGGTATGTGATGGAAATAGGTAATTGATGCTGAGGCCAGATTTCATTAGCCATAAAATATGTCGAACAACTCTTTATCAAAACTCGTTCAATAACATTATATATACAGGGTGTCTGAGTTAGCAATAGCGATAAGAAATAGGGCGTCTCACGGGTAGACTCAGCGAACATACGTATGATAGAGTATTCAGAATCCGTTCGATATACAGAGTGTTTGAATAGCAATACAAACTTATATAGGGCACTCGTGGCAAGAAGTTGAAGGTGGACTCAGCAAAAGTGTGACAGATGACGCTAGTTGACGATTCCGATCATTATACAGGGTGTTTGGATAGTAATAAAACTATATATACAGGGAGGCAAGAACTGACAGGCGGACCCTGCGAACATATTAACGTATGACAAATGACTCGCTAGATTACGTTTAATATACGTATAACGTATGTCTCTACGGGGCGCTCAGTTAGCATGTGGCATAATATAACGCTCAATTAAAGCTTATAAGGCTTAGGGACGTTGAAGGTTATAGACGGTCACTATAGGTATGAAGCCCCACCTCGACCTCTCGGAGGAATGTAAAGGAATATTGGAGAAATAATAGGCCTTGACTCATAGACAAATATCCATTATCTAACTTCCCTATATACTGGGCGGCATTGAAGTAAATGCAAATATTTAAATAGTGTATACTATCGAATGACACAAATAAAATCTAGATATCAAAATGAAATTTGGGGGTTATACCCCTTTTCAGCACTGTAGCAATTCTGGCGACGCCTCTGTGCGGAAGGTACAATCATGACATGACAATCATTTGAATTGTGGCATACTTGAATTTTTCTCGTTTTTTATTCAGTGGATGAAATTTCTCGTTGTCAGCGAGCAACGCGAGAGATTCGTTCTAGAGATAACGCCGCGCATTTATGTGGAATAAAAGCCATACAGGGGCATTCAAGTTGAACTACCATAAAATATACAGGACGACTCATAATTCATTGAACAAAAAAATTATACGGAGTGAACTGCAAAATATACAGGACGACTCATAATTCATGGAACAAAAAAATTATACGGCGTGAACTGCAAAATATAAGGGGCAGCTTATAATCCATAGGCTGGAAAAATCATGTTTGAGTTGAATAGTAAAAAATATATAGAGCGGTTCATAATTCATGGATCGAAAAAATAATACAGAGTTGAACTGCAATAAAAATATATGATATCGCTCTTCACGGAACAATATACAGAGTGCTCCATAATGCACTGAACAAAAATCAGGTGTTTGAGCTGCAAAAAAGGGCACTCCATTCCACTTTACCAACAAAAAATTCGATAGATGACAGCTCACGTAGGACAAACGACAGCATAATAGGGCGTTGAATAGCAGTTAAGGTGAGCCCAGCAAACATATTAGATTGACAGATGTTATCAGGCTACTCGCTAGATAGCAAAATACGGGGTGTCGCGAAATCTAATATCAAAGTGCGCTCAATGCAAATCCAAATATTATTCAACAATTCCTGAGCCTGACTCAACCCAAAAACGGGTTAGTGCCGCTAGCGGCTAAGGGAATATTGAAAAAACAGCCTGCGCAGAGATACTCTAGCACTCTATCAGCAAGGTGCTCGCATTTATTTCATAGCAAATGATTGGTATCTCAAGTCTGTGGGCCTTTCAGCCTAAACTCGCGATGCGAGATTTCATACACAACTTTTTGATTGCTTGTACCTATATAGAAGACGTGTTCTACATGACTTGGTAACAATATAGGAAAAAATATAAAGCATGAAGCACTTTTACCTTTCTTTTCCATATAGCCTCGATGAGAATCCGAATAATGAATGGGAATGGTAAAAAAACAATTTGAATAAACAAAAATCGCTTCACCCTATTTCCATACACGATTCTTTGAAAAGCGAACACCACTGCACAAATTCGTACACATTATTTTTAGAAAAACAGCGCGATAGAGGAATATCACATACGCGTCGATATTCAAGACTGAAAATAAAGTTGAATTACCATTATGATAAGAGCTTCCTGTTTCATGATTATAGGTTTCAAGAAAAACACAAATTTGTTATCGAACATAAAATATGGGAAAACTCTACTGGCTTTATTTTTCAATGACGTTTGGGGAAAAACACATTTCTGAAGGCTGATTTGAGGCTAAGAAGTGGTTGGATTTATGAAAAAACAGGAAACGACTAACATATAAAAGGATAATTTTGTACAGCAGACTGAAAAAAAGAAGTGTATTAGTGTAGAAGCACCGGTAAGTTGAGTATTTTATATTTTTTAGAAAATTTTGACTGATCCATACTACTCCATTGATTCATAATATGAGAACTAGGGTTACTTACGAATGAATTTTTCACTTGCAATGATTCAGGCTTTAGCATATGTTTCTGTGATCAAACTAACATCTAGCTAAATTTGGGAGGGAAGGAAAAGAGACATAAATTTTAAATTTCATTTAATAAATGGCCCACACCACCGTCCCCGTCTGCGCCATGTGGGCCCATATACGATATGGGCCCGCGGAGCCTATACACACCATATCAATGGGCACCACCCCACTGCTCCCAGGCCCAAACATAATTGCAATCGGCTTGTTCTGTAAATAAAAACTCTATTAATTTTATATTATCGCAGCGCGCAAATTCGTTATTTTTTTCTAATTTTGACTTCACATAACTAGTTACGTAAAGCGAAATATTATATAACTAGATATTTCAACACCCGTTACGTAATAAAAATATGTATAGATGAAAAAAAATGAATGTATGTGTTGCCGTTTTCTCGAAATCTGAACTTGAATCATACATCTCCACTAGTTATAGTATCAAAACAAATCTATTTCATGAATTTGATTTATTTAGAATTATTATTTGACGGGCGAAGTCAACTTGCCAACTACATTTCAAGCATAATCGGCACACAGAACTAGTTATTATTCTACTTCAAGCGGATTTTTCATTGAAATTAGAAAAATATTGTACGTAACACGTTAGGAAACTATGCAATATCATATCATCACATGGAACAAATAATCCCTACGTACTATACACAAATATCTCTCTGCAGCAATACATTTTTCCTGGTCCCCTGAAGAAAATGCAAGGTGTTTTTGAAATAAGTATAAATATTCAGCACATCAACATTATACAACGAATATTTTCATCAAAATTATTGAAAACCGAACAAAAAAATAAGGAAAAATCAACAGATGTGTATGAACCAAAAAATAACTGAAACACCATAAGGTGAAAAATCAAAACGTCCGGATCTCACAGCTACTAGTGGAAGGATAATCAGACTATAACATTTCTCCAAACGTGATGAATCTACCTACTTCACACAGACCCGACGTCACTCGTGGAAGACTAATCCATCAATAACATTTCTGTAAACGCATACACATTAGACTTAAATTTAGTTAGGAGATCAATAATGAAACATGATTCTACGTCAGAGCTAAACATTTCTTATTCCTAAAATTTCGATGTAAGGGCATTATTCTTCCAGAATTAAAAATATTACATAAGGATAGTATACTCACACGTAGGTGGGGAGGCAGCCAGCTCCTTACCATCGTCCAAATTTCCCCTTCAATGTGGTCTGAAAATAACACGCATATTTTGTTAAGCTATTATCAATTTGATATAGGTATGATGTAGGATCAATCACAGAGAAATATT